GTTGTAGACGACGTGGCATTACAGGCATGTGGTCGGCCAGTTCAGGTAGCTCAGGTGCTATCGAGTCCAGTTGCTCAGCTCTTCTCGTGCTTTGAGGAGCTCCACTTGCCTGTGAACATCAAGAAAACGAAGTACTTGTGCACTCGAGAGGTTCAGACCCATGTTGTGGGCTCCTGGTGCCTGCCTGGTACGTCTCGGGTCGAGCATGCGCGCAACCTCGGCACGGATGCGACGACGGGCTCACGACGACGTGTGGGAGTGCAGAGAGCGAGGTTCATCGATGCAGGTTCGCGCTCGAAGCGTCTTCGTTTGCTGAGGGAGGCCGGGGCAGATGTGGCTCTTGCACAGAGAATGGGGGCCACGGCATCGGCCCTCTGGGGCAGTAGTGTCTTGGGAATATCGCCGACGGCCATGCATGGCCTAAGGCTGTCGGCGGCCCACGCTCTAGGACGTCATCCCAAAGGGGCCTCCCTGGGAATTCGGCTGCATTCGTTTCGTCTGGGAGAAATCGTCGACCCGTTAGTGGCCTATGTAGGCCATGTGGCCTTTCAATGGGCCACTGCGGTTTGGGACAGTTTTCCCAAGGGTTCGATTTTGAATGCGACGGCCGACGCGGCCATAGCTCGAGCCAGTTCGAAAAAGCACCCATGGCGGGGAGCTGCGACACCTGCGGATGTGGCAGTGCTCAGTCTTGCTCGTGTGGGCTGGACGTTTAGAGATTTTCGTACGGTCGAAACTGACCTCGGGCAGGTCTGGAATCTCTCTCAGATCGCGCCTGTTGAGTTTCGGTCGCAGGTCCGTGCGGCGGCAGTCAGAGCGTCGGACAGACAGGCGTTGATGCAGATAGGTGTTGAGCTCCAAGGGTACCCTCTTTTCTGGGATGCTGTGAGGCCCCTCCTTCGCTCCTCCTCCTCTTCTTGGAAGCCCCAGCATCAGAGGGCCCTCAGGAGCCTAATGAGTAATGTGCACTGGCCTCAAGCTAGAGTGCACAGGCATGGGTATCACAGTTGCGGCAAGTGTAGGCTGTGTCAGGAGAAAGCGGGGACCCTTTTTCACAGACGATTTCGCTGCTCGGCTCACGCTGTGCTCAGGAGGGACATGGTCTCGCCGCAGCTAACCAGACGGGCGGCCCGCGTGCTCGAGGGAGGTGAGGAGCTGGCTGAGAGATTCGCGCGCGCGATCTTTCCGTCGCCGCTGGCGCTCTTCCCTGCCCAGGAGCCTGAACAGACTGTGTTTTGGATTAATAGGCCTGAGACAGGCCGCCTCAGTGGTTTATTTTTTTCGGATGGGTCCGCTTCTTGGCCAGGGACTCCTGGACTTTCGAGGGCTGGTTGGGCCTTAGTTCAGGCCGACCCCCTGGGCAATGTCATCTCGGCTTGTTACGGACCCGTCCCTTTCTCCCATGGGCCTCGCCAGACGGCCAAGGATGGGGAAGATTATGCAGTATACATGCTGGTTCAGTGTGCGATGGCGCCGATTGGTTTATACTGTGACTGCCAGGGAACTCTGGATGTCCTCTGGGGCGGCCAAGGGGCGAGGGCCTCGGCTGGAGGGCCCAGGGCCCACCTGTGGGCTCCCTTCTGGTCCAGTTTTTCTCCAGGGGACTTCACGGCGTTTAAGACGGCAGCTCACTGCTCGATGTCGGACGTCCACAGTGGCAAGACGACCCTGTGGGAGAAGCGAGCCAATGACTCGGTAGACTCCTATGCAAAGATGGGCGCTGCTAAGCACCAGCTTTGCCAGCAGGACGTTGACTTGTACAGAGGTCTCAAGTGTCTTGTGAAAGAGTCGGCCAAGTGGGCTGCCCAGTTGGAGGTCCACCTGCAAGGCCAGGCAGAAAAGAGTTTGGACACAGTCGGCCTTGCAGCTTCGGAAAAGAGTGCTCCCGATGCTCACGAGTTGCCGCCTCAGCCTGAGCCAGAGATTGAAGAGTCTGTGGGCGGGGAGGGGGTGGACTTTGGGTCGGGAGGGACGGGCTGCTTAGACTGGGCCGACATGGCCACCTCAGCCTTCTTTCTGCAGGGCCACGCTCTCATGTGCTGTGTCACCGAGAGTCCCGCCCGTGCTGGTGTGCCTATCGTGTTCTGTGTGAAATGCGGGGCCTATTGCGAGGACTATAGGCCAGGCGACCTGCTAGCGGCAGGGTGCAACCACAGGCCTCGCTCCGCTCAGGTCAAACACCAGCTGAAGAGAATTCGGGATGGCAGGCACCCCCACGGAAGGGCCTCGTCCAAGAATTTGGTTGTGTCCCAGCCTCGAGGGCTCTCGGAGGCTGAGAGGGACCTCATGAGTGTTCGTTGTCTTGCCTCGCCTTCTCCTGCCGCAGGTCAGGCGGGCCGTCGGCCCAGGCTCGGCTACGCTTGCCGCCAGGCCGTGCTCGATGCATACGGCCTCCAGGAGAGCGACCTCGACATGGTCAGGTCGCTAGGCGAGGCGGCTCCCCGACCTGCCCAGGATCCCGAGGATGAGGATGCCTCGGATTCGGAGGGGGAGGTCTTCTAAGTTTTTTCTTTGACTTTAGGTCGCTCCACAACAACAAACCTCCTCCTCCCTCCTCCTCCTCCTCCTCCCTCCTCCTCCTCTCTCCTCCTCATCCCCTCCTCCTCCTCCCCCACTCTCATCCTCTCCTCCCCTCCTCCTCCTCCTCCTCCTCCTCCTCCTCCTCCTCCTCCTCATTTCTCCTCCCCCTCTCTCCTCCTCTCTCCACCTCGTGTCCCCGAGCGAGGGAGGATGGGCGCGTCGATGGGCGTGTCACGGGGGGGAGGGGGCGAACGGGTACCCAGTCAACCCGTGTGAGAAGGACGCGCGATGAGAGTGCAAGGGCCCCGGAAGGCAATACCGACACTTCTTTGCGAGCGGGGCGCGGCCAGCGAGAGCGGCCAAGGACGGTGAGGGATGCAAGGAACACCGAAAGAAGTTGATCACCCTTACTGTGCGGGTTGACTGTAGGATAGTAAAGGTCCGGATAGAGAATCAGCTTCAGTAGCTGGTTTTCCAGGCGCCTCCTGGCGCCGGGAGGCGCCCATGTATCGAGGAATGGGCCTAGCGGCGGGACTGAAACTAGCTGCTTGCAGCAGATTTCGTAACCCGCCCATTCCCTATGCCCCCGATCCCCCCCTTTCGTTCGGGCCGAGAAGGGCGACACATCGGTCTAGACCGCGACGCGCGATTCAAACTTCGCGCCCGTGCGGGTGACCTGGGAAACGGACCCGAAAAAGAGATACGTCTGTTTCGCACCGAGGCTGACGTGAGCGATTTTGGCGGCGGGCGCTGTTCAGAATGACCTGGACCCCCGGGGCTCCCCCACAGGACCCTCCCGACGGCCCCAAGGCGCTCTCAGAGACCGCCCAGCGGAGCCTGAGGCCGGGGCAACAACATGGGCTCACCACTAGTCTCAGCAAGACTGCCCCAGGAACGCTCAGGACTCAAGACTGCCAGAGCCCGAAACAAAGCCCAGAACGGCCGAAAGATCTCTAATGAGAGAGACCCGCCCAAGGAAAGCCCTCCAAGAGACCCCTGGGAGGGCCAATACACTGCAATGTAAAACCTGAGGTGGCCCGAATGTTTGTCTTGCCACCACGGAGTGCTTAAGACTGCTTCAGGTCGGCTTCTGGACGGCCCTCATGCGTCCGCAAGGACGTCACACTGTCGGTCTAGGAGGTTCCCTATTGGAAGCCCCCAAGCCAAGATGGCCTATGGCGGTCAAGGACGGGCCTGAGATACAGCCCAATAATTAAGTTATTCCCATCGTACTTAAGGACCGCGGTCCAGAAATAATTTCGAGCACCCGGAAAAGTATCAAAATGTCGAACGAGTATCGCCTCCCAGGGCCCGACCCGTGAAAACTCCTCAGAGTCGGTACTCTCTTGGTGCTCGAAACTATTTCTGGTGATCCAGGCTGGAGTAGGTTGGAACATCACAGCCCAAGTTAAAAGAGGCCCCGAGACCCCCCACACGACGGCCCCAGCATGCCCGTAGCCGCGTCAAGACGTCCCCCGACCAGCCCCGAAAACCCACACGCCCCCAGGAGAGGCTCCCAGAAAGACCCGCAAGAGGTATCGCGACAACGGGGCACCTCCACGGCCGCGCCATGCTCGGGCGCCTCTGTGCAGCTTCCCCGACCGCGGTGGCGGGCATGCACTGCAGCGTGACTGGATGCCTAGTGCTCCACGACGGCAGGGGCCTCAATCTCACGGGATGTCCAGAAGGGGGACCTTCGGCTGCACGAAAGAGCGACCCTGGGCATGTAGGAGTGACCTTTGCTGCGCGGCTTAACGGGGGACGCGGGGTGGCCAGATACGAGCGCGACAGTCGCTAACTGCCGCGTCGCGTTCGGCGATCGGGGCGCACCATCGGGCCCTCACCCCGGCGAAGGGTCACTCTTACGTGTAGCCGAGACCCACATGCACGGCAGTCCCTGGCCCCTGGTGCGGACCGCGTGGAGAGGCACAGAGAGGGGGCCTCTCTCCTCCTCCTGCTCCCCCTCCTCCTCCTCCTCCTCCTCCTCCTCCTCCTCCTCCTCATCCTACTCCTCCGCCTTCTCATCTTCCTCCTCATCTTCCTCCTCCTCCTCATCCTCCTCTTCCTCCTCCTCCCCCTCCTCCTCCTCCTCGTCCTCCTCCTCCTCCTGCCTCCTGGCAGCCCGTGGGGCCTGGAACGCGTCCACCTCCCGGGGCCCCATCCAGAGAACCCCGCGTGCCGAGGGGCGGGCGCGGAGGGCGGGCGACCGGGGGCGGACGAGAGAGGGGAGGCGCTGAGCCCGCCAGCGTCGGGTCGGGCACGTCCTCCCGCAGGCGGATTGCTCGAAGAAAGTAAGGAGCCCCCCCCCAAAAAAAAAGCAGAACTGGTCGAGAGGGAGCACGAGAAATCGTCACCTCGGTCTTCTCTAACAGTTCCCCACAAAAGAGCAAAGCTGGTCAAGAGGGAGCACGAAGAATCGTCACCTCGCTACTCTCTAGCTATTCCTTGCCTGTGCCTCCCGCAGGGGGGGCGTGCCCGACGTACGACGAGCGGTGCTGCGCAGAGCTCACGGGGCGGCCGTCTCCGCTCAGAAGATGACGTCGGGGTCCTCCGCGCGCGCCCGCCGCACCGCAGTAATAGTAAGAAGAGAGAGAGAGAGAGCTCGCGCGGGCCCCGGGCCAGCACGGGGGGGGGGAGGAGGCGGGAGGCTGGCGGCACCCGCAGAGGGGGCTAACGTAGGGAAACAAACAATCACACAAACATAAACACTCGGAGGTCCGCGCGGATGTCTCGGATCGGCGCTGGACCCCCCTCCCTGGCGCGCGGAGCGCGCCAGGGGCGGCGCCTGAGGCGCCGCCGGGGGGCCCCAGCGCCGATCCGAGAAATCCGCGCGGACCTCCGAGTTTTTATGTTCATGCCACTTTTTGTGTCCCTATAATGGCAGCTCGCCTCCCCGAGCGCGCGCCGATGGGCCAGTGTTCCACCGCCACCACCAAGGGCACGGGGTACAGCAGGGAGGATGCAGATGTCCTCCTCCTTCTCCTCCTCCTCCTCCTCCTCCTCCACCTCCTCCTCCTCCTCCTCCTCCACCTTCTCCTCCTACTTCCTCCTCCTCCTCCTCCTCCTCCTCCTCCTCCTCCTCCTCCTCCCCCTCCTCCCTCGCCCACCATAGGTGGTGGAACATCGAAGCGAGGCAGGAGCAGCCGAGCGAGCGGGCGAGCCCTGCGCCACACAGCGCGCGCGCGCAGCGCGACCCCCCGAGCGCCACGACGCCGAGGCGTGGCGCCGCCCGGTTTGGTGCGGGCGCCCTGCCTGCACTGCCGGCTCCGGCGCGGCCCGCCGCCGCTCGGCCGACCCCGGGGCCCAGATCTTCCCCCTTATGGGGAGGGCCCACCCAGGACATCGGCTACAGTCGGCCCCTATCAGAAGGCTCTGATCTTTCATTCGGTCATAATTTTTTCGGCAGCATCGAGGTCCGCTTCACGATGTTTGAATTTGCCTGCAAGCGAGGAGGAATCTTGACACTCGGTTCTACTCGCAATCGCCTCGCTGTCACGCCCAAGAGCGTGTCGTTCCCATCGTACCTGGGAACCAGATCCCAGAAATAAGTTCGAGCACCCAGAGAAGTATCGAAGCAGTGTCGAACGAATAACTATCGCCTTCCAGGGCCCGACACGTGAAAACCAGCCAGTTTCGGTACTTTCCTAATGCTCGAAATTCTTTCTGGTGATCAAGGCTAAGGTAGGTTGGAACATCACAAACACAGGACATCGGCTACAGTCGGCCCTCACCCTGCGCGTCGCGCCTCCCTTCGCGACATCGCGCGGCGGCCCTGGGGAAAGGCAACTCTCGGGCCCAGACCGCGACGGGCGAGTATATGTTCGCGCCCTTTCGGGGGACCCAGACAACCATCAAGGGGAAACTCCTGAGGTGGTACAGCGCAAGTAGCTGGCTCTCCGGAGGAGGGAGACAGCGAGCGGGCGAGCCCTGAGCGCCGGCATGTGGTATAGGCCCTCCTGGCCAAGGCCAAGAGGTCTCTACTCAATCCTGGGGCCTTCGATGGCCCTGGCCAGACATGGTGGTGATGTCCATGTGAATCCTGTGAACTGCAGCGGCCGATTCGGAGGCGGAGGCAGTCCAGAAAAGAAATGGGAGGCCGCCACGCTGCAGGGTGATGCCCTGCAGCCCGCGCCACTACGGCGGGCCCCCCATCTTTGCGAGCTACCAGTCCCTCGACTGCACCGCGAAGCTCGCGGTGAGTGGCCGGCGGGCCAGTCCTCTTGGGCTTTCGCGACCCGCCCTCTCCCCCCACCGCCCCCTCCTCTTCTTCATCCTCCTCCTCTTCCTCCTCCCCCTCTCCGCCCTCTCCCTCCTCCTCCTCCCCCACTCCGCCCCCCTCCTCCTCCTCCTCCTCCTCCTCCTCCTCCTCCTCCTCCTCCTCCTCCTCCTCGTCCTCCTCCTCCTCTTCTTCCTCCTCCTGCCTCCTCTCCCTCCGCCACCTCCTCTCCTTCCGCCTCCCCCTCTCGGCCTCCTCCGCCGCCCCCGTCCGCTGCCTCCTCCTCCTGCTCCACGGGCCCCCTCGCGCTCCGAGAGAAGCACGGCGGCAGGCCTCGGAGCAGCGGCCCCTGCATGGGTCCCCTCTCGGGCCCCCCCGGGGACCGCCGGAGGCGAGGACCGGAGAGCCCCGTCCAGGGGCACACGTCGGTCGGAGGAAGGAAGGTACCAGCCTGGGATCCACCAGACTGGGCTGAGGCCCTCCCAGGGGGAAAGCCCCCCCCACACCCGGCAGAAGCGCGTCGATTCTTGAGGTAGGCCTGGCGCTCGAAAGAAGAATTTCTGTGATCTGGGAGGCCACAAATAGCTACTTTCAACGGCCGGCGTGCAAGGGTCCAGAGGTGAGCGTGAGATCGCAAGGCAGCTCGCCGCTGGGGCCCCCCCGCCAGACCAAACGGCGAGCGCAGATCGGGAGCAGCCCCGCAGAGACTGCCAGGGGGTGCGCCCCCAGTGGGGTGCGTCACCCCAGGGTCCTGGGTCGCGCCGCATGTTGGCACATCCGTCGGCTGCTCCATAGGTTACGCCATGGGGTGCGCGATCAATAGCCTGCGCCATTCATGAGGTGTGCCATGGGCTGCGCCGTCCATGGGTCCCGACATGAAGTAACCAACCATCGCGCCCCCCCAGGTGACCCGAACGGGGCTGGAAGCAGCCCGCCTCCGTCGTCTCTGTCGTCGTCATACTCTCTGGCCCTCTGCATGTGACGTTACCCTTATCGTGCTCTGGCCGCTTACGACGATATCGTCGCCAATAGTCCCGCCCGCCACTGTTCGCGCGTCCGTCCGCCGCATGTCCCCTCGGACTCGGACTCGGACTCGGACTCGGCTCCGCGCGTGTGCCCCCTGCATCGCACAACGCTCTGCCGCGTGCAGTGTGAGACAATCAGCCCAACGCCCGCGTGGCACCTCCTCCTCCTCCTCCTCCTCCTCCTCCTCCTCCTCCTCCTCCGCTCTCCAGCCCTGGCATATAGCCCTCCCCGGGGATCCTTCTTCGTGCTGTCCAGCGCGCTGGGGGCATCGAGGGCGGACACGGGCGCCGGCAGGGCCAGGCCCTTGGCCTCCAGCTCCTGGGCTCCGGCGCTGCCCAGGAGGAAGATGAGACGGTGGAGGGGGGGGAGCACGAGCAGAGAGTCGGCCAGAAGGGTTTTTTTGCAATCCTTCGGTTTTTTTGCAATCCTTCGTTCAAGAAGGGTTTTGTTTGCAATCCTTCGGGTTTTTTGCAATCCTTCGAGCAGAGAGTCGGCCAGAAGGGAAGGAAATCAGCATGGGAGAGACGGGTCCTGAGGGAAGCGGGTTAAGACAGGGCTGGGATCGGGGGATAAATCGCTCCAGAGCGTTCCGGAGCGCTCTCGGAGCTTCCCGGGACGCTCTGGAGCGGCCGCGGCGCCCAATACATCCTCCAAACCCGCGGACTCTCAGAGATTTCGAGTTATCCCGATCCGATTTTGTCCCGATCTTCGTGTCGTTTTGCGGGTCCTTCTGCTTCGCGCGTGCGGGCCAGTCCCTGGTGGCCCCGGGACGAAGAGTACCCCAGCCTACAACCCCCCTCGAAATCAAACGCAAGAGTTTGATGTTGATCGACGCGCGGAACGTGGCCCGCGGGGTCTGATTTGTGTGTTTGGAGTCGCCAGTTTCGGCGCGAACATTGACATTTTGGGGTCCTGGTGCGCCGCCACGTCGCGGGAAGAACTCGCGTTTGATTTCGAGGGGGATGTAATCTCCGGCCACGACTGCCGCTCTCGGTGGTGGTCTTCCAGCCGCCAAGTTCGATCCAGGAGCGTCCCAAGAGACCCCAAGGGAGCTCCACCAGGGCCCCAGAACCGGGTGCAATGAGTGGGACGCCTGAAGATAACCCGAAGACAGCTCCCAGAATCAAATCAAGGATAACCCCAAGGTGACTCAGTTTCGCTGATTTTCCGAGGGTTCCGCAGAATGTTCAAATCACGGCCTCCTCGAGCTTCCGATTACCGCAGACGGCCCACACGAGGTCTCAAGAGCGACCCGAGGCAACCCAGGAGGCTCCCAGGATGGCAGGACAGCGGCCCGAGAAGGCCGCTAATACAGCCCGAGAGGCCCCCGCCGAGGGCTTCGGAGGCCCCCAATCGGGGATGGACAGACCTCCCTTTAATAAAGCGTGGTTTAGTGAAAAAAACGACCTCGGGCCCAAACATGGCGGGCGCAAGCCTGGAAAAGAACGGCCGCGGCGCCCCCTCGAGAACCGAAAACGGACAATTCACTAATCGACGTGTCAGGGTAGGAGGTCTGCCCACCCCCGACCCAAGAGGCCCCGCCGAGGGAGGGTCCAAGTTCACGTGTCGGGCCCTTCACCTGAGGCTGGCCGCCGAGACTGCCGGGCGGCTCCCACAAGAGGCCTCCATGAGGCCCCCACGCCCCCCCCCAAGAGGCCCCCACGTGGCTCCAGGAGGCCCCCAGGAGGCCCCCCGAGAGGTCCCAGGAGGCCCCCCGGGGCCCCCAGGAGGCTCCAGAGAGGCCCCCCCGCGAAAAAAAACGCGCCGGCAAACGACAGCGACATCGCAGCAGGGGCCGCCGGAGGGAGCGGAGGGACGGATCTCGGGGGGCCCCCTGCGGGCCCTCTGGGCCTACCGAAGGCGTCGATGGCAAAGGGTGAGGTGGAGGACCAAAGGGAGGAGAGCGAGAAGCACGCATCAGGGCATGCTGAGAGGGGCTTCGCGCACTCCGCTGGCCCGAGGATGTTTCGCTGTGTTCCGATGTGCTCCGATGAAGCAGAGTGTTCCCAACTCTCCTGGGGCGCGTGAAACAATGCACGAATGAACTGCGTTGCCAGGGCTGGGCCCATGTACGTGACAGCTCCCGGGGCATGCAAAGAATACGAATGATCTGCGCCCCCACGGCTACGAGTGAGCGGCGCCTGCGACAATGTCATTTTGGCAACCCCCTCACGCATTTGCTCCACACTCTGCTGGGCCACGAGAACATACGAGTTATCTGCGCTGCGAGGGCCACGAAGGGGTCCATTCTAGACACCCATCACGAATTTTCAGCCCTGGGGCTCCTGGGACACGTCAATTTATACTCTACTGGGACGCGTAAATACAAGCAATCTGCGCCCTCAGGCTCCTGGGACACATACAACACCACCGATGTGGGCCTCGAGGCTCCCTGGGGGGCGTCAACGTACGAGTGAATCGCCGTTCCATGTGGATGGGGACCTCCATTCGGCACACCCCTCGTGCACCCCGTGCATGCTTGGCGCTCCGCTGGCCCCCGAGACGGCTCCTTGGAGCCTCCACTCGGCATGCCCCTCACGCGCGTCGTGCCCCCATGGACCCAGGACGGGATCTCGACCTGATGCATTGCGGCATCTGCGTGCAAACGACGACGACGACGAGGACGAGAAAGACGAGAAGGACGAGGACGAGGAGGAGGAGGAGGACGACGACGACGACGAAGAGCAGGGGCGTCGCCCGCGAGGCAGTCTGGCGCTGCACCCGGGGGGAACTTCCCCCTTGGGGTCCGCCGCGGCTCCCGCCCTCTGCGGGCCCTCGGCACGCCGAGGCCCCGCGAGGCGTGCGGCCCCGCGCCGGCGCCCCGCGGCAGGGTCTGTGCAAGGAGCGCACTTTTGCGCTCCACTGACGCCGCCTGGGACGAGTCTCCACCACCACCACCACCACAGATAGGAAAGGGAGGAGGAGGAGGAGGAGGAGGAGGAGGAGGAGGAGGAGGAGGAGGAAGAGGAGGAGGAGGAGGAGGAGGAAGCGGAGGAGCGACCGTACCTGGGAGGAGGAGGAGGAGGGAGGAGGAGGAGGAGGAGGAGGAGAGGAGGAGGAGGAGGAGTAGGAGGAGGAGGAGCAGGAGGGAGCGACCGTACCTGGGAGGAGGAGGAGGAGGAGGAGGAGGAGGAGGAGGAGGAGGAGGAGGAGGAGGAGGAGTAGGAGGAGGAGGAGGAGGAGGACCTCCCCATCCTCCCTTCTCCCCCGTCCTACTTATGGTAATGGCGGTGGAAAACTGACCCATCACTCCAGAGGCAAACCTGGGCTGTCTTGGGCTCCTCTTGAATCAATTCGGCCCGCGGTCGGAGCCCTCTTGGAGTCGCGTTGACTCCACGGTGCAAGAAACCCGAAGGAGCTACAACTCCACGTTTCCAGAAAGAATTCTGATGAATCCGGCAATCTCGGGCTTATATGTCCGCCTCCTGGATGTCTCTTGGAGCCTCTTGTGAAGGTAGTTCGGCCTCTCCGGCCACCTTGGGACCTTGGGATATCTTGGATGCCTCGTGGGTCGTCCTCAATGCATCTTGAAACTATCTTGGACCGTCTGGCCACTCTCGTGGAGTCCTTTTAGCCGTTATGGACGCCCACTGGCCCCCCCAGAGGCCCTGCTAAGGAGGCAAATTTGGTGTACCCAGGCCCCTTGTGTTCCTCAGTCTGCCTCTCGAGGGTTCGTCCGCCTCCTCCAGATGCTGCCGATCCTCCTGTCACTCCTCCTCCTCCTCCTCCTCCTCAACCACCCCCTCCTCCGCTCGCCCACATCCTCCTGCAACTCCGCGCTCTCCTCCCCCGTCTCCAGCCCCCTCTCCTCCTCCTCCGGATCTCCCCCCCCTGCCACTCCCCCATCTGCAATCCCACCTGGGCCTCCACCTGCCCCTCCTGGGCCTCTCCCGTCGTCCCAACACTCCGCCCTCCACGGCCTCTTCCGTCTCCCCCCTTCTGGGCCTTCCCTCTGCACCCTCCGCTGCTTCCGTGCGTGCGCGTGCCCGATATATTCCCCGACAGAAGCGAAGAGGCCCCAAGAGAACCTGGGGCGGAGGTGCCTGCCGCCCCCCCAAGAGCGTTCCATCAAACCTCCGCGTGGGACGGCGGCAGTCAGCGGTGAGGCCGTGGAACGATCCAGCCAGGCCCCGAAAGAACCACCTGCCTCCCAGCCAACGCCAAATACTACACCGCAGTGACGGCTACATGCTACCGCCATGGCACACACCCCAACACACGGCATCCAACATGAATAACGAGTGCCCGTGATGTGTTGACAACCTCTCTGGCGCAAGCGGTCGCCCTCATTGTGTGCTTCCCTGGAACTGGGCCGAATCAAGCACACACACAACAAATACTCACGACAGAAGGAACGCCCAAGAACACACGATGAAGATGTACATGTAAAGATCCTGGCGTAAAGTGCGTAGATCAGAATGAGGGAGCCGAGCGATCACTCATTGCCCCTAAGTTCGCGACTGCCGTGTGATTCAACTGCTTCTGCTTGTTGAGTTCTAGATCGTGAAGTCCTAATGGTAATCGCATGGCGTACATATGAAAACTTCCGTTACAACTTTGTGCAACTCGAAAAGAAGCTTCATCTGCGCAAATTGCACAGACGAGTTGCCACATGGCACACGACACCTTGGGGGTGTGCGCAATATGGCGTGAAGCCGGTGTTAACTGTGCATGGTATGTCTAACCTCTCTCATGTGAAAATTGTACTGTTACTTAGGGATATCCGTTTCATGGGTGTGTTGTTTATTGTTTTGCTTTCACGTTACCAATGTGTGACACGTGGCGTGCTTATTGCTCTTGCTTACTGCTGCACTCTATTAGAACATTGCAATATGCCATCCGTTGTCAAAACGGATACTTTCAAATGCGCCAATCGAAGCAGACCGTTGATTTTTCATATCCGATGTGCTCGTCAATGGGAATTCGATCGGACACTGGCCCATTCCAGGCTCCAGCAGCATTATATCACGTTTGCATCGCGCCGATGACAGCTTCGATCAACATTCAACAAGACAGGCGCTGGCCCCAGCCTCTCTCCATTAGACTGTCAAGCTGGTGTTCAATAGGAAATGGGGGCTGCCCGGGTCCCGGGGGATTGTATGGCACGCCGCCATTTGACATGCTTCCCTAGGAAGTTTGGAGAGCTCCGCGCCGCTCGAAGGGAGGCGGGGGCCGAACGACTCGGCGGCATCGGGGGGAGGAGGTGACTCGTTCGGTACCCCGCTCCTCTCCCATGGGCTCGGGGCGCCCTCTAAGCCTCCGGGGGCATGCAAGACCTCCATTGGAAGGGTCACCCTCGCTGGCTCAGATCATCCCGGGCCCGCAGGAGAGGAGGCGGGGACAGAACGACCCGGCGGCGGCAGCGGAGGGCAAGATGACTCATTTGGGTCCGTCTCTCTCCTCGGGTGATCGGGGGCTCCACGAGACCCCGAGGGCGCGAAACGCTTCCATTGAAGCGTCGCCCTCGGGGGTTTGGAGAAACCCGCGCCCGCACGAAAATAAAGGAGGCGGGGACCGAACGAGTCGGCGGCAGCAGCTGAGGGCAAGGTGACACGTTCGTCCCCCCTCTCCCGCCCCATGGGTTCGGGGGCTGCCCAAGCCTGAGGAATAATGAAACCAGAGAAATCCTGCGGGAACCGGAGGGATCCTGAGGACCGCGGAGGAATCCCTGAGGAATCCAATGGAATCTCTGAGGAATCGTGAGGAATCCCCCAGGGATACCTGAAGAATCTCTGAGGAATCCTTTCAGAATTTCTGAAGAATCTCGAGGAATGTCTGGGAGGAATCATGAGCAACCCTAAGGGATCTCCATCGCATCTCTCTAGAATCCCGAAGAATCTCGCGAGGAGTCCTGAAGAATCCTGGAGAATCTCAGGGGGAGTCCTAGGAATCTCTGAAGAATCCTCGGGGTTCCTCTGGACCTTTGTCGCATATTTGAAGAAGCCGGGAGAATCTCTCTCGAAGGAATCTCGAAAAATGCTTCCAAGGTGGTTGGAATTCGTATTAGTGTGCTTGGGTTTGGGGTGGGGCTGGTTGGAACCCGTCCCAATGCGGTTGTAATCCATGCCCCCCTCGCGATTCGGAATGGGATGCTGTTTTCCCCCCTGCCCCCCCCCTGGTTCGAACCGTGGGGGGGGGGGGGGGGGCATGCCAACAGCTGCAGACAACGCTCTACCGAATGGAATAACCCCTTCGCCAAAGTGCATGGTTATCCACCTGCAGTTCGCGATGCGTCTGTGCCTAAGTAAACTGTATATCTATACATGCGTATAATTGCAAGCATATTATTATACACGCGTATAAACCTACGTACCTACATATCTACATACCTACATACCTACATACATGCATACGTACAAACATACCTACATACACATACAGACTAAGCGTGCACGAACACAGACGTGCACGGCTCTATGGCAAACTCGGTGAATATCTCACCCATCGCCTGCACGGAGAGATGCATGATTGCGCGACGGATATGCGGATCCTTCTTCAGCGCCAGCTTCTCACGCTCTAGCTTCTGCTTCTTCTTCTCGACGACCTTCTTCACTCGGAAGAACTCCTCGCGATCCATCTCGTCCATCTCCTGCGCACGGGGAGATGGCTTCCCCATCTCTCGAGGCTGCATGCGCCGTTGGAGCAGATGCCCTGGTGAACACTCGACACCAAGAAACCTGCAACCACTGGGGAAACCGAAGGATACCGATACCGCTGCTACCTGGACCTCTCCCGGGGCGCGTTCTGACCAGGATTTCGGGGCAAATCCAGCGGTGGCGACGACGGCCTCCCAGGAGGCCGAAAAACGAGGAAAACTAGCGAAGAGTAGCGGTATAGGTACTCCGGGTTCCATAATGGGGGGGATCACACTTGGGGGGGGTCTGATTCGAGCTGTCTTGGGAGGGCTCGGGGGGGTTCTGGACAAAGGGCCGCACTCTCATGGGAGTCTAAAACTTCTAAACCTTCTCGTTTGGGAGGGTTGAAAGTTTTCGTCTTCTTGGTCTGCACTGAGACTTCTAAAACTTCTGAAACTGCTAAAACTTCTCGTCTTCTTGGTCTGGTCTGGGGGGTCTAAAGCTTCTCATCTGGGGGGAGGTGCGACCCCCTCCCCTGCATCACGGAATCTGGAGTGCCTCTCCCTCCTCCGACCTGCAGGCAGGCGCGCGTGGCGCCGCCGGCGCTCCGCAAGCGGCACGGCTGCCGGAGGTCAGCAGAGGACACGCCCCTGGCCGAGCGGGGCTTCGGGGCTTCGGTCCTTCGGGGGCGGCCCGGGGAGGTGCCCCCCCCTTGCCGTCGCCTCCTCCTCCTCCTCCTCCTCCTCCTCCTCCTCCTCCTCCTCCTCCTCCTCCTCCTCCTCCTCCTCCCTTGTGGATGCCAGGCCCCTTTTTCTCCGCCTCCAGGTGGTGCCCCGAGGAGCCGCCCGGGCCGAGGAGGGAGCGCGCTCGTAGGACGGAGCCGCTGCGGGTGGCCCAGGGGCATGCCAACACGAGAGGGTCTCCCCGGGAGCGCGCGCGCGGCCCCAACATCTAGAATTCAGTCGGGCGTGTCCCCCTACAGGGGGATTTTAAGCGAAGAATGCAAGATAATCAGAAAATGCCTCCCGAATGGGCAAACAATGTCAAAAAATCGTCCCCTGACTTTTGACTATGTTGGAATATTCCTCCTGTGGAGGGACAGGCCCGACTTGAATATGGAATACACATCTTGTAGTAGATCGTTTCCCGAGCGGTGTGGCCAGAAAGCGCCCGCCACGACGCATATGCTATCAGATTTCTCGGTGCGCGCGTCACCTCTGGGGGGGGGGGGGGCGAAGCACATATAGTGTAAGTATGTTGGGGTGACGCCGACACTATGCGATCGACACAAAAGCGCCTCTCTCCCTCCCGAAACAATCTCTAACGCATTGCAAAGCGCTGTTGCACGTGTACGCCGGACAACTTCCAATCCGCACCTCCGCACGCCCTTTGCAAGGCTGTACGGCACAAGCCGTGCGTTCTGGACTTGCAAAAACGGCCATTCGAAACTACGAAGACCAGACCCGCAAACCATCATATCGGCTGGCTCTTCTGATCGCGCATTTGTTTCATGAACAGATGCGGCAGTTCAGGAGCACTGGCTCTTTGTGCATGGCAATTTCCATGCGGAACCCACCTTCCTTCTCATATTCAAAAATTTGCCGTCATCTGGACGAGTACTTGCTGCCTGACCTCCACGCCTGCTTCTGGTGATTCTTTCTAGGCTACGGACAAGGCGAGAGGACAGCAAACCACGCGTGCTGCTGCGCCTGTGTGATGTACTGAATCGTGTCCTCGATGCGCGGAATCAGGACATAC